AGAGAGAGAGAGAGAGAGAGAGAGAGAGAGAGAGAGAGAGAGAGGTGCAAGGAAAGACAAGGCATGCGCATGCATGGGGAGCGAGTCAATAGAGCAGGGAGGTGCAAGGAAAGACAAGGCATGCGCATGCATGGGGAGCGAGTCAATAGAGCAGGGAGGCGCAAGGAAAGATGACTATCCAGAAAGCCAAACCACGCAGCGGCAAACGGAGAAGCTGCAAAGAAAGATGTTGCAAGTGGATGAACAGCAAGGCAGCGGAGACAGACAACGCAGTCCACACATCCAACACGGACCGAAGCGATCCATCACCTACTCACATCACATGTAGAACCCTGCAGACTGTTGGTTTCCACCACCCTATGTATCAGGAAGCCACTCCGACAAACGTCGCTCATCAGACTGATCACCCATCATGATGGAACGTGCACCGACAGACATCCCTAACAGAGAACCCCCCCCCAATAGTGTTACAAGGCACTCCAAACAAACAGACATTGTCCATTAGGCACATCTTAGAAGTGCTCATTAGGCACACAGAACGTTAAAAGGACCAGGAAGAAAATTAAATACATAGATATGATTGTGTGTGTGTGTGTGTGTGTGTGTGTGTGTATGTGTGTATGTGTGTATGTGTATATGTTTGTGAATGTATCTTTGTGTATGTGTTGCCATATTCATTTGATAGCGTTAATGCCAAAAGAAGTTTAAAGAAGCATTTGTCTGAAAGACAGATTCGTCAGACTCTCACCGACTCATCATCCAAGTCGTCAAGAGGTGAAACCTCCACAGTTCCGACTCACCACCTCGCCCAAAGTAAGCAATAACCATAAAGTAAGCATATGGTATTTCGCCCATCCCCTCACAAGAACAACGATGGGCCTGGAAAACTCACTATTATCACATCCATAAAGTGGCATAAACCCATGCACCACAAACAGCTAGCCAGAATGGCACGTCTGTGTGTGTGTGTGTGTGTGTGTGTGTGTGTGTGTGTGTGTGTGTGTGTGTGTGCGCACATGTGTGTTCACAAATGCATGTGTGTATGTATACGGTGAGAGCAAGTGTGTGAGTATATGTATTATAGTGTTATTGCATCCACTGCAAACTTCAGATGGAGGTGCCTAAGGCCCACAATGATATGGACTTTATAAGTTTATATGGATATTATATGGATATTATTGGATACAGCAAGTGACGTTACGCTTTGGTGCAGTTTCCTGGGATCCAGGACTGCTTGCAAGACTTGTGATTAACAGACGTCCTTATTTTTTAAAGTTGTTTCTTTCCTATTGGTTTGATCTGCCATTCACTTTGCTGATATCTGATTTGGTTATGAACTAATTGAAGGTACCTACCGCCCATCTACACATTCTCTGCAACTTCTTGACCTCTCACTGTCCCTGGACAGTGGACTCCCCTTCCTCATGGCCAAATCTAAGTGGAAAGATTGGAGCTTGCACCCACTGCAGGAATGTGGGCTTGTTTCCCGTCATTCTTGTTCTTGTTTAAAAAGTCTAGAAAGGAATCAGCTCAACTGTTTGCGCATTGTCCATCGTCGGTGGTGCAGGAGTGTGGAGACATTGAAGACTGAGTTGGCAGAATCACCGCCATGTGTCTTCATTTCTACAAATGCACGTGCGCTTGTGGTGGAAAAGGTGAATGCGTAATTTGAAACTCTTCTCTGTGCAACGAAGGATGAAAAATTGAAAAGCTAAGGAGCACACTACACTACATCCAAATCAATCCAAATCAATCAAAATCAATCCAAATCAATCCAAATCCAAATCAATCCAAATCAATCCAAATCTTAGTGAATGCTCACTAAGATTATAGTAAGATACATGCACCACTTCTCTACACTGTCGTAGATATTGCCCCTGTATCAATGATGAGCATTTCCCGCTCTCCCCCCCC